GTCCAGTGGTTCTCAACCTGTGGGTCGGGACCCCATTTGGGGTCGAACGACCATTTCACGGGGGTCGCCAAACAACGCAGTCCGCCATTTCCCCCCCTTTTCCTTAGCTGTGCTACTCCCTTTTATTCTATTGGCTTTTGAAAGCCAATAGAATAGACTCTCTTGAATAGAGTCTAATTCTATTGGCTTTCAAAAGCCAATAGGAATTGTCCAGGCTGTCTCTGTCCTGCTGAGCCCGCCAAAAGTCCCATTCTGCAAACGGTGCTGCACCAGTTGAGTAGTCCTCGACTTACGACCGGTTGAGTAGTCCTCGACTTACGACCGCTTGGGGGTCACGGCATTAAAAAGGTTGAGAACCACTGTCTTAGTCATTCTGATTTGGGCAGCTGATAGTCCAGTTTTTTTTTTTTCCAACCAGGCTCTTCCCCTGCCCATCTTCAGCTCAGAGACTTGGATCTACCTGGGTTTTTTTTTGGAGGGGGGGGGAGAGATAGTTTTCTTTCTTTGCTCCTCCATGGTGCTTCTCCACTCCCCATCACCACCACCACCACACACGTATACACAAGTGACAGCTTTTGTTTGATCTAAAGAACATGGATTTAGTGCTTTTCTGGATATCAAGTGATTAGGCTTTTTTTCTGATGTGAGGTTTAGTACTATTCCAGAACACCACCATTACTCCAGAAGAACTGATATTAGCTGTTAGCTTTCTCTGAACCTGTGCAAAAGCCCTTGCACTAAATAGGAGTTTTGATCAATGGATAAACCTTCCACTCTAGCCATCTGCAGAAGCTCACTTTCTCCCCAGTGATTGGTGGACATTTTCCTACCACTTAGTGATGTTTGATGGGAGGGGAGGGGGGGAGGGAAGCAAAGCTGGGAAATCCAGTAATGTCTTTCCTTAGCATGATCTGTACAACCAGATAGAGATCCCCATTGGGGGCAGAACATTTTAGACTAGTACAGTTTTCAAGGACTGGTGACTGGCACTTTAACTAGGCTGTAGGGAAGAACCCTTTAGGAGACTGAAGGGCAGAGCAATAGCGCAATATCCAGTTCCCTGTACAGGCAATACCCACAACTATTTAATTCAGTTTCTTGTTTCAACATCTTTTGTGTCACACCTACAACAGTTAAAACTGTAAGAGAATTCTAACCCCAAAACAAAGCTCTACCAAGCACCATCATACCAAAGCTAGGGTTAGCAATATGTACATGTCACCAGTGAGAAGGAGTGTAATAGACTTGGTTGCTTGGGCAGCATAAACATGAGTTATATCCTTGTTTCAGGCTGATAACAAGATTCCCAGTGGCCACAAGAAAGAAGGGATTTACTCCAGAATTTTGAGATGAAACATGTAGAGTACCTGTTATCTATGCAAAGTACCTATTACCTATTATTATGCAAAGTCTGAGAAACTTTTTCCTAAGACTACAAAAGACCTCTGGAGAGTTAAATAGGATGGAATTGGCAGGCAACTTGCAGCCCACAAGCCTTTCTGTCTTAAACCTTTTTGAGCTCAGTGTAAAGTGCATCGGAGGCTATATATTAACATTTTATACATTTGAAAACTGTTCATAATTTTGTGGTATGACCTGCTGTTAATTATTCTTAGCAAATAAGGCTTGATTCCCCCCCCCATTAATTAAGCTTAAATTTCAGTACCATGTAACAATATTGATCACTTGTTTGGACAGGGGTTAGTGATGCAGGAAGCTGCATACAAACCCATTTCCCCCACCTGCTATCATTTCATATATCTAAGTTCTGCAAGATCCTTGTCAGTGTTGTTGCTAATGCATTTTTCAATCTTTTGACATCTTTGTTTGCATTTTGAGAGCTGTAAGATCTCCTTTTGTAGCAACCAATAAAATTATTTCATTGGCAGTCAGGGTAGCTGAAGCTTTGGCACACTTACTTGGAAGCAAGCCCGCTGTGTACAGAGACAGTTTGAGCTAGTCATTGTATCTAGTTAAAGAAAAGCTTTGGTGGGGTTTAAGAGAAGTCATTTTTCATCCAACTTCCTGCCTGGCAGACAGGAAGCCATCTATGGTTTCTTATTCACAGTGGTTTACATCCAAATAACTAAGTACTGGGTTGCAACCCTTTGCTTTGTTTCAACATGGGTTTCTCCACTGCCTTTGTTCTACAATTCTTATTAGCCCCAGCCAGCATCAGGAGAGAGTATAGATTATGGGAATTGCGATCTATAATATATAGATGAATCCATCTTGGGAAAGGTTGGCTTGTAACAAGATGGAATGCCATTTAGCTCACCTCTGTGATTTTCTGTTGCAACTAATGAAGGTATTAAGATGGTAACCTAGGTAACCAGATGGGTCCTTTGAATCTATAACGTTACCTTTATCTTTGCCAGCAGTTGTTCACTTTTTATTCCTTTTTCCATTAATGTAGGTAATGTTTTTACTGGCTCTATTGTTATATCCCCAGAACTTTACTAGTCTGACCCAGATTTTTTTTTTTTTTTTTTGGCTGATTGTTACAATTGGAGGATGCAGAGCAAAGGGAAAAAGAAATCCAATCAAGCTAGTGCCTGCATGTGTGAGTTATCATGGATAAATTACCCAATGCTTACTGATGTAAAGAGAACTTGGGAATTGCATTGCACAAAGGAGAATTAAATACAGCTTTGGCATACATTGTGCTTGTTTTTCATCATTCTTCTTGCAAGAGACATTCTGCAACTGAGAAAGCTTCCAGGTAGCTACAAACAGTGAAGTCTGCACTGAGGAATTTTGATCACAAAAATGTCATTTAATTAGTCTTTATTCCTCAGTTTCATTTTAATACTCTAGTAGTGGTTTTACATTATGTATGAAGCCTGGAATTTCTAATGGTGTAACATTAATGAGTAACACAGAGAGGTATTATGGCACATAGGCAGTGATGAAAGACTTCCTTAGTTAGAAAAGCTGGAAATTATTATATTAACAGACCAAATGTGCTGTCTGGAAATCTCATCCAGAAATGTTCAAAGTATCCTTGTGTCACTTTTTCTACAATTGCTTTGAATATAAAATGATTAGATTTGTTCATCTTTTCCTACACTTGAGAAATTATTGTTCATCAAGAAAAAGATCAGCATTTTCTTTGCTATAAATTTAGGAATCAGAGGATATAGAATATGCACATTGTATTAAAATATCACATCCACAATAGACTTTCCCAACAAACATGTACATATCTCATTAGAATTATGAAATTTCTAGATTTGGGGAAATATAAATATATATTAATTTAAGCTATATGTGACCAGACCTGCTTGCATATTATTTCTTCTAGCAATTATATCTGGAAAGACAAAATTATCTGCCATTATTGAATACAACTATTATAAAAAGCCACCTTTTGTTCTATATTAATCAAACTTGGCAGAAGAATGGGAAATGGTGCCGTCTAGTCTCTACACATCAGCGTGTCCTTCAGACTCAGAAATACCAGTTAATCAAGGACAAACTTTAATCTGTGATTAAAGCTTTACTTGATTACTCTACCAATTATATTGATTAAATTACATTGATTAAAGAGATGCTGCAAGAGGTATACCAACCTACTCTTGTTTTTACATGCATATATTTTAAACCAGGAGGAAGAAACTTAAACAATATTTAGCCTGGTACATTCTTTGCAGCAATAACTAGGAGATCAAACAGGAATTTATGACAAGTATGCAGGTAAATCTACCATTAGGTTCCTCTTCTCCTTGCCCTACTTATTTTCTTTGCAGCTGTCTATTAACTCCAAAGGGCATAAAACCCAATGTTTTCAAAGGTCTAGCTCAGTGGTTCTCAACCTTTCTAATGCCGTGACCCCATAATACAGTTCCCCATGTTGTGGTGACCCCCAAGTGGGTGTGGCCACCAATAAGGGGGAGTAGGAGAGTTAGGGAAAAGGAAAAAAAATGGTGGACAGCGTGGTTTGGCGACCCCCATGAAATGGTCATTCGACCCCAAATGGGGTCCCGACCCACTGGTTGAGAACCACTGGTCTAGCTCAAGAGATCTCAAGAGAAGGTAGAAGGAGGAATGGTAGAAATGTATGGAGCGTCAGTCCCAGCAAGAAGACAGACAATATTTCTTCCTTCTCAGAGAAGTACAGATGCTTCTTCTCTAGTCTTTGTATAGGTGTAAAGAAGCCATAGAAAGCCCTATAGAATCTGAAGGGCACTACTTATCCTAAAAAGCTGTCAACTGTGCTAACATCAGATGTTCTTGCTTTGACAACTGATGAAAATGCAGCCATTTTCTCTATGCTTTTAGAATTAGTCAATGCTGGGAGGGGGAATAGGAATGAGAGTCCAGCTAGTCATAACAATAATAACTCAGATGTGGGAACCCAAGGACATTGGGCCCAGAGCTGATAGTATTTTGGTGGGCTGGAGAGCTGGGGAGGAAGCCAGCGCTTCAAGCTAATTGGGGAATGTGATTTATGACTGTTTATTGGAGGAGGGAATTGTACTTTGTTACTTTGTATCCAGGGGAGGGGAATTTAGTTTTTGGGTTTGGGGGTTCAACTATGTAGGGCCGATACTTTGTTTCTCAAATAAAAGATTCTTTAAGGTAAACAATGCCTCAAAGTTCTTTTGAAGGTTTCATCTGTCGGAACCATGACAAAAACACTGTCAATGAGAGCTGAGAGAAAACCAGGTTAGTTTCCTGAAATCTGATCAGACTCATCTTTCCTAGTATTATCAGTTCCTAGAATTATCAGGGAGCAACTTTCGGTGGTCTCAGACTCTTCTATCACATTCTCTATTTTTTAAAAAATTGGAGATGCCAGAGATTGACCCTGCAACTGTTCTTCCCCGACTTCCTTTTCTGCTCTGTATTGTACAGTCATAAAATTCCAAGAGGAATTGGCAAGAGGAAAATTGATTCCTTTTTAGAGACGATTCCTAACTCTCATGCAGGAGTCCTATGAGAACACACATGAGATAAACCTCCCCAACCATGTCTTCCCCATCACCAGTCCAAGCAAGTTCCGATTTCATCATTTATTTATCATTTTATAATTCTGTTTATATATATACATATATATATATATATATAAAAAGCTATCAAGAGAGAAAGTTAGATCGCAACAGGCTTGACAAAAGAGAAGAATACACAGGGCAGGGAGGATGGGTGGATGAAAATGGCATCACATTTCAGGAGAAAAAGGACTGTTTAAAATACTTTTTTGTTTCTCTTTTTAATTCCAAGCCACCTTAATAGACCCACTAAAAGACTTCAAAAACACCAGTCCTAAGACATCTAAAACAAACTCAAGCACAAGGGTTGGAAATATTTACAGAGAGAGGGGAAAAGGCAGGAATGATTTTGTGTAGGGCTGCTCAAAACACCAGAGTACTTTTATTATTTTTTATTATTATTTTAAAAAACTTTGTATGCAAAAAAAGCAAGGATTCATTTCATCCCCGACAAGCAAGAGAAAAAATAGTTATTACAATAGACAGAGGCGGAAATGGGGTAGAGGGTTGATTCAGTGAACAAGAAATCACTTTTGAAAGACAAGAGTGTGTCGCAAGGCAGCTGCGTGAGATGCATTCAAGAAGCAGGGAGGGTCTTGGGGTTTTTTTCTGCTGTTTGAGGGGAGAATTGGAGGTCAAGATAGAGGGAGGAGGAAGAGGAGTTGTCAAATGGTGGGATTTGGCCCAGTGGAAACAACTGGATTTTGATCCTCCCATGAAAGAGAGAATGCGAGTTAACATGACAGAAAGAACAAAGGGATCGTTCTAGGTGGGCTGTTCAGCACCAGGAGACCAGGTTTGGCAGCAGTTCTCATACTGTCATTCTAGGATACCTTGAGATCTCTTGGCAATTGATCAGAGGCTCTTGAGAGGCTATGGCAATCAAGTACTACTTTAATGGCAGGTATAGAGTCATTTTATGTGAAGTAAAGAGGATGACCAATAGGACCAACTTGGTCAGTGGCTTTCACGAATGCAAAATTGGTCTCAACTTCCATGGCAGAAAAATGGGAATGTCTTAGTGAATGAGCAGACATGGAAAGGCTTTCCTCAAGGTAAAAAGTTTGAAAGCCACAATTTTGAGAGAACTGCTGCCTTGGCAAGGCCTGATTTAGAAAATGAGTGACAAGGGGAAGAAAAATGACAGATCAACAGAGAGGCAATCAGAAGATTAGGCTGGAGCACCCCTTCCCTTATAAAAGGGGCATCAGAGATTATCATCAGCTGACTCCTTAGAAGGTGGTAAATGGCAAAATTGAAAGGCCCAGATCCTTTCAGACCATTCGTATGCCTTCCTTTTGCATAGCCACAACTTCTGGTTTCTAGTTCTTTCTAACCACCCTTTCTCTCAGAAGCAGAGAAAGGATTCCCCGTTTCTTGGTTCCCAATCCTTTCAGGTCACCTTCTGTTTTGCCTCCTGTCCTGATCTGGGTTGGGATTAGACATTGCAGCACCATCTAACATCCCCTTCTTGAACAAGAACAAAGAATGAACAGTTGAGGATTTTGAGAAGGGGGTCATCTGCTCTTTTGGCAATTTTGAACCTTGATTCCCTCCCCTTTTATGAAGCTCTGGGCTTCACTGATAAGCTCATCCCTTGGATCATGTCACATGTCCCTCCCCTTCTCCCTCCCTTCCCCTTCCCTTCCCACCACACAAAACATGGACATAGTTTGGCTGAAGGATAACTGGCTTGGGGAGAAGGTGTGGAAATGAGACACTTTTTTAGGTGGATTATTTGAGGAATCCCCTGATTTTCTAACCCTCCCTGATTAGTTTTTTGGGGGGTGGGGTTAGCCAGTAAACAAAGGGTAGATTCCACCAATTACTATTTCCATTCGAAGAACATTGATTCTTTGATTCTTTGCCTGGGTGAGGTGATTAACCCTGTGCTCACCTCCCCTGCCCCCAGCAATCCATAGGGAAATCCTCTTCTCCAGGACTGGGGGCGGGGGGGAATCCTTTGGGAAAATGCCTCCACTTATTCCAGGGCAGTGACCACATTGGTAGGACTGGTAGCCCCAGAGCTGTCATTTCCACCTCCTTCTTTGCCTTTTTGGCCACTGTACTGGCCAATGAAGGAACCATCCTCATTGAACTGGACGTCCACACTGCCCCCATAATCTGCCAAGCTATCGTCACTCCCCAGAGCCTTGATGTCACCATTCAAGGAGGGCTGGCTGCTGGTGAAGGGTTTCTCCTCATTGTCACTGTAGGGGGAAAAGGACAAAAATGAGAAAGGGTAATAGAGATGGAAGAGTCATATCTTTATTTATAGCAATAGAAATTCAAAGTCAGTTAAGCAATCTAAAACCCTGCTGTTGTTTTGGATTAAACGGTTCCAAATCAACAGCAGGGTTGGTTTGGAGGATCCAAGGTGCTTGGGGCTTTTAAGGATTGCAGTCCAACAGACCTAGCAGGCAATGGGTGGCGACCTTGATAAAAGCCACAGCATGCTAAGAGAATAAATAATATAGTTGTGTAGGGGAAGTGTAGTAGTAGTAGTATATATGTGCACATAGCTATAGGTGAACATGCATATAAACCCATGCCAGGGGGCCAGTCCACATTCCATAAGGAGGCTTCACACAATCTTAGAATAACTGAAAGAGAAACTCCAGCTGCCTTTATGGAAAAGCAGAGTTTGCAGCTCACACCAAAATGACTTTGTCACAGCATAAAATGAAATGGCCCATCTCTAGGCAGCAGATTATTAAGTGTCTGGAAGGCAAATTGATTTGACTGATGGGGTTTAAATCACCTAGAAGTCATCCCATCTAAGCCTTCCATATTGGTTTCAACAATTAATGTGCAAGAGAACTTCTCTGCATGTTTTCGTAGCTGGTGAAACCATCAGGCCATCTGGATCATTTCCTTCAGGAACCCAGAACACAAGACCCTGGTTGCTTCTCCATTAAAATACACGCTAAGAATCTTTTAGTTGGGCAGCATGCCGTCAGTCTCCTTTGGAATGTATATAATGGCCTTCAAGATAAGAACCACCAGGGTCTCTCAGACCAAGGAACAAACCAAACTTTGTATGAAATGTCACAGGCCACACTTCTAAAGTAGGCAGAGCCAAGGCCCATTTCAGAAGAGGAGTTCAAGAGTTTTAAAGGTACTTAAGAGTCAAAGAACCTTTTTTTTTTTTGTCAGTTCCAGGTGAAAATTTCTATACATTCTAGAATTCCCAAAAAGTCAGAAGGCCTCATTAAGCCCTGGTTCATATTTTTTTTTTTTTTTTTTTTTTTATTGAAATTTTTCAAAAGTTTTACAAATAAAAATCCACCCCCCCCTCCCCAACCACCCCCCCCCGACTTCCCAGAACTGAATATAGGATTATTTAACAAATATTTTAAAAATAACATTTGCAATTTATAAAATAATTAATAATAATAATAAAAATCACAATAATAATATATATAATAATAATATAGATAACATAAACTTTAAAATGAATAATATATACTAAAAAAGAAAAAAAAAAAAAAATAAAAAGAGAAAAGAGAGAGAGAAAGAAGAAAGAAGAAAGTAGACGAAGAATAAAGCATATATATATATATAAAAAAAAAATATATGAATAATAATACATAAAAAATGTATATATATAAAAAAGAAAAAGAAGAAAGAAAGAAAGAAAAAACAATCATTACAAATTATAAAAAGGCTAAATAATATTTTTCCATATCCAAATTATGTTGTATAAAATTTATCCATTTTTCCCATACCGCAAAAAAATTTTCTTGAGATTGCTCCTTTAAGAAAGCCGAAATCTTTGCCATTTCTGCCAAATACGAAACTTTATGAAACCATTCTTGTAAAGTAGGCAAAGATTCCTTCTTCCAATATTGTCCTATTAACAACCTAGCGGCTGTAATCAAATTTAACATCAATATAACCTCCTTAGCATCACAGTCAATAACAATACCTAGTAAAAATAATTGCGGAGTAAATTTTACCCTCCTTTTAAAAATTCTTTGAATATTCCACCATATCTTAATCCAAAAAGCTTTTATATGCTTACACGTCCACCAAATATGGTAATAGGTAGCATCCAAATATCCACATCTCCAGCATTTCGGCTGTAGATTAGGGTACATAATGGACATTTTCTTTGGGTCAAGGTGCCATCTATAAAACATCTTATAAAAATTCTCTCTTAAATTTTGCGCTTGTGTGAATTTAACATTTCTTATCCAAATAAGTTCCCAAGTATCCATTGAAATCGTTTCACCAATATTCTGTGCCCATTTAATCATACAATCTTTAACTAGTTCAAGTTCTGAATCTAATTCCACTAAAACCCCATAAACTCTCTTAATATGGGTTGGCCTTTGATCTCTTACTTGTTTTAAAAAAATTTCATCTTCTCTAAGCCAGCCCATTTTACAATCCATCTTCCATCTATCCACTATTTGTCTATATTGGAACCATGAATAAGTTAAGTTTTCATGTGTTAATTCTTCCAAAGATTTTAACTGCCAGTCTTGGCCATCCCATCTTAATAACTGTACGTAAGAGACCTTGTCCATATTTACCCCTTTCCTTATACCTTCTATGGCATGCCGAGGTATAGCCCATAATGGTATTTTGAAGTCACTTTTATAATACTTTCTCCACACTCTTAGCAAAGAGTTTCTTATAATATGAGACTTAAAAACCCAATCCACTTTTTTATTAAATATTAAATAGGCATGCCATCCAAAAAATAGGTCCCAGCCTTCCAAATGAAGTATTTCTGTATTTGTTAAATTCACCCAGTCGCTAATCAATGTCAATACTACAGCATCATAATACAATTTCATATTTGGTACCTTGAGTCCACCTCTCTCACGAAAATCTTGCATTATTTTAAGTTTCACCCTTGGTTTTTTCCCTGCCCAAACAAATTTATTAATACCTTTTTGCCATTCATCTAAATTACATTCGTTCTTTAAGATAGGTAACATATTTTGTGCACACCTGCTTTAAGAGGATGGGATGCTAAAGCACAAATGCTATATACTACACCAGAATTGTCATTTATGTTTGCTTTGGAGCCCAGTACTGGCTAATGAAGGAGCTATCATCATTAATAGGACATCCATGTTGTCTTAGTCTGCCAAACTGATATTCCCTCCTCAGGACTTTGATGTCAACAAGGGAGGGCTGGCTGCTTGTGGAAGATGCTAGAAATAGAGTGTGCTTGTGTACATAGATGTGTCTTCTAGTGGCAAAGTGAAGTCATGCAAAACGGGAAAGGCCACTTATGAGGAGCACAACTCAGATCATTAGTTGGATCTGGTCTCATCTTATTCCATTATAATCTGTTAGTCATGGCTGTCTGTAAACAAACTGTGAGCAGGTTGCCTTATTTGCCAAATTGTAATGAATTCATTAAAATGGAATGTAATTATAATGAAACAAAATGCAAACATTCATCTTCCAATGTTTCTCTATATCTCACACAGATGTTCCTGGTCTTTTCCATTATATAGTCGCTTCTTCTCTTTTGGGGGAGGGAGAGTAGTTACATATGACTACATAATGTATCTAAGATCCCAATATTAAAGAAAAATTATTATTTTAAACAAACTACTGAAATTAAATTACTAAAATTAGAGAGATTTTGTGGCTATCTTACAAGATATTTGTATTCTTACTTGTATGAACCATGGCTAACAAGCTATCGGTATTTGATTAAATTTGGAAAATGCTTAAAAATGCTTAAAAATATAATATTTTTTCACTTATCATTAACTAATAGCTTTCTCCAAGTACAGTATGTGGTCCCTGTATGTGTTGGAATTCAGTTCCCAAAATTTGTTGCTATAGCTTCAGATTATGGGAGAGGAACCTCCACATATCTGGAAAGCAGAAAAAGCCTGCACAATTTAGTTATTACGCTATAGTACAATAAAGGTCTGGTTTTTATGGATCTCAATCTGTGAGCCTGGGATGTAATGGGTAAAATCTGAAAGCACCCCAGAGGACAACATTCAGTTTCTTGCAGATCACTTCGGAGAATGTTCGTATACTGTCACATCTATTATATTTATTTTACATACATTTTATGCATTTGTACAACCTCATTACCATATTAATAAACATGAGTCTAAAAATCTTTCCCCCCCCCCACACACACATTTGTCTATGAAGTTGAGGGTTATTTAAAGTTAAGCATATTGACTGATTTTGTTGACTAGCTGAAGTCTGGATTTTATAGACTACTATATGTATATTAAGGCAAATAATCATAGGGAAAATAAAATAGAGTGTAATTAGGAGGAAATTTACAACTGTTATGGATTCAGGGGCACATCTGGAATTTTTAAACCATCTTATGGATGCTCTTTAAAAATGGCTTGCTGGGAGACTGGCTCTTTCAGAAAATGGCGGTCATGGAAGCCATTAAGCAGTAAGAAAGCATAAATCTACCAGGATGGTATCTGTTGTTATCTCCTCTCTCCCTACTCCTGATTGCAATGCTTTCTAATAGTTCTTTTCTTTTAGTCCTTTTTCTGAGCAAATAGACATATTCCCAAAGAAATACTGTCCTGTGACTAAAGTAGGTGTGCTTTTTGGCAAGAAGTGGCACTATAAAAAGCAACAATGATTACAGTACAATAAGGCAGCTTAGACACTGTAGACACGGGCCTGGAAAATGGGAGACCATGAGTTCTAGTCCTCCCTTAGAACAGGAAAACTCATTGGGTGACCTGGGGTCTCTCTCTCTCTCTTTCTCTCTCTCTCTCTCTCTCCCTCCCTCCCTCCCTCCCTCCCTCCCTCCCTCCCTCTCTCTCTCTCTCTCTCTCTCTCTCTCTCTCTCTCTCTCGGTCCAAGCCACCACACAGGGTTGTTGGCGAAAATAGGAGGGGGCATTATGTACACCATTTCGAGTTGTAAAAAAATAAAGATGAAATATACACCAAATAAATACACTATTCTATGGATAAATTATTTTATTTTATTTTATTTTTTATTTTTATCCCACCTTTATAATTTTTATTAATTATTTATTAAATTTATATGCCACCCATCTCACTGTCAGGCAACTCTGTTGGCTATAAATAACTCAAGGAGGCAATCATATCTAATATTCTATCTTAACTATTTTCCACACAACAACCTTGTGAGGTAGGTTGGACTGAGAGAGAATGACTGACCCAAAGTCACCCAGTCAGTTTTCATGCTTACAGCAGGCCTAGAATTCACAAGTCTCTCACTTTTT